TAAAATGTGAACATTCACCACAAACCCGAGAAACAAGTGTGAAGACCTACATGATCATAGCCAAAAAACGAATCAAAGAATGTCTTCTTGGCGCCATTGTAGTCATTCTTGGCCTTCTCCTGGACCTCTTTCATCTCCGAAGCCTTTCCCGCCTTAACCTTTGGAACCGCTTTGGGTTTAGGTTTCGGGGATCCCTTAGGGGCTTTCACCTTACCCTTAGACTTTGCCTTTGCCTTCGGCTCGGGACCCTCCATTCCAGGTCCTGTTTCTACCTTGGCAGCCCGCTTTGAAGCAGCCAAAAGTTTTTGACGGTGTGGGTTGATGGGTTTTTGCAAAAGGTTGACCCCCGCAAACATTTGAGCACATCGAGCAGGAAGATGTAAAGCATCAGAAACTGTCTTGGTCGGGAGCTTGAGGTAGAACTCATCCTTACATACCGAAACTTTTTTTTTTATGACACTCGATTGGACTGCGTATGTTGTGAAATATAGCCCAAGAAAATTCTAAGCTAGGCACTGGATCAGCTGTGGTACGAGCTGGACCCTGCAAGGGAACCAGATCACAATCTAAAGTTGTTTTCATGATCTTTTCAAGTCTAACATATAAACAAAAAACCAAGCCTTCGCATCACCTGCAGTTTCTGCGACGACTCCCCCAGTATCCTCCTTTGGTCCCTTGTCTGCGTCCTCCTGCGCGTCACCACTTGCCATTGCCTGGGGGGACAGGATTGGACCCTGGTAAGTTGTTTTTATCCCACCTTAGAGCCGCATGTGGTTCGTGTAAACGAAGCTATAATGAGGCCTGGTCCGCTTCTTGGTTTTCAGGAACTTCTGGGGCTGGGGGCGTGTCATCATAGACATCATTGAAACCAGCAGCGGGCACCTAAGCAAACATTTCAGACACAGAACTAGGGAATATGTTTCAAACAAGGGACTTCCATCCCAACAAACATGTTATATCCAAGGAACGTAAGAAATTCGACAATCTCGGGATTCCCAAAATGCCTCCGTTGGCTAAAGGAACCCACAGCGCAATAGGCATGAAGAACAAACAACATATATAAATCAAACCCGGTGAAGTCGAGTAGCAGAAGTGGATTTAATCGCAAGTACATCGCCCCGTTTGATGGCAAGAGGAACATCAAGCTCCCACTCAGTCAGTTTGTTGCCATTGGGGTCTCACCACTCTCGCTTCAACCAATTGGCCTGCAGGTAATGCTAAAAGCCAAACCAAATGGATAGACAGAAACATGACCACACGAGAAATTGTGAAATGTATTTGAAACCATATGATCCCCATGCCTTAGCCCCCAATGGATCACTGGTCGGGTCAGTCACAGCCAAGATCGGGAAGTTGTACCTAAGTTGGGACTAAGTTCAAGTGAGGAAGAAACATCACCCGAGAAACTATTTCAAAAATGAATCAACCATAAACCCTTTGTCGTTGAGGTCCTTAAACCATATTTCTTAGAATTTCTTGAAATAAAAGTAGAACATGATTCGAACCAAGTAAGTAAACCGTAAACCCACAAAATAATTCAGCCATCGTACCAACGAGCCCATTCTGTTCTCAAGACCAACAAGACGTGCTCTGCATTCTTGATGCCATAGATGTTCACCATCTTATAGACTTCGATCAGTTCATCCCAAAGTTGTTGGTCTATGTCAGGGTGAATTTTTGCCTTGAAGTCACTCGGTGTTGCATACCACCCAACATGGATCATATGTTCCTTCAAAGTCATCCCCTGGAGTGTTGCAAGGTCGGTCCATGGGGTCTGGATTGGTTTCGGGCTTGGTACCAAACTTTAAGGTCTGCATGGCCCCTTCCCAAATTTTCACAGATGGTTGATCAGGGTATTTCAACCGTTCTTCCTCAATCTGTGCTGCGGTTGGTGTGGCTGCGCGGTCTGGCTGATTCAACCCTGAACCTTTCGGCTGTCCACTGGCTGGCCAAGCATTCTGGGAGAACTCGTTGATGTCCTCCTTGCTCACGGGTGAGTACCGGATCTTTCCTTCACGCGGTGCTGATTTCTCAACTGGCGTTGGGACTGAAGAGGCCAATCGTGTCAGCGAGTACATGTGTCCATCAAGGCCTGAATACTAGGCAGTCCATGAACCATCTTCATGTAACCCATGTTCCATCAGGACACCCAACTCAATGTTTGTAAGTCCGATTGGGTCCCAAAAAAGACCATTGACTTCATCGCACTCATCCCATGGATCCTTGGAAGGTTCCCCAGAGGTAGCGGGCGAGGTCTCTGGGTCAAAGACTAGCTCTCGGGCAACAGTTGTTGAAGGTTCTTCTGGGGTGTCAGGCATGGTCCCTGCAGATTCACCTTGGTCCAAAGTAGGAGTCCATTCCTCACCATCCCAAGCCGGGTCCCACTCAGAAACCCATGTCTCTTCAGACCCCCATTCTGGATCCCAACTCTCCCACCATTCTTTCCCATCGGTGCTGGTACTTGGCATAGTCCCTGAGCTGTCAGGGGAACGGGAAGGCGTAGCGGTCGAGGGAGTCTCAACTTCAGCCTCGGGTCAAACATGAAGCAAACCCTTTTTTGAGAAAACAATATTCCAAAAACAATGAACCAAGAAACGGGTTCTTTCAACTGGCCCCTCTTGTCATCCGAACTGGCATCCTTATCTATGAAGGTTTAAGTCCAGACCAACCGATTTCTTTGATTGCAAAAACATGATGTGCAAACTGCAGATTGCAAACGCATGCAAACAGGCATTTGATGATTTGTGCCAAATCAATGTGCATTGATATCTCATGCAGCCACGTGATCCGATTCGCCCAACTGCAAGGTAGCTGCACGAAGAAGTTGAGCCTTGCAAGCGAATGGTCTGGATGGTGCTGTCCCAACTTTAGCCAAATTTCCCAAATGAAAAGGCACAAATTCAGCTGCCATATTTTAGCAAGCGATTAGGCTTATAATAACTTGAAGTCAACCCAAAAAATGTCCATAATACTTTCCCCAAATCTGGCAGTTATGCCAAGAAACTGTTTCCGGATCTTCAACGCTGGTTGATCCAGTCGGCTTTTCCTTAGGAGCCAGAACCTTTAAACATAACATCAGTGATAATCATATATGAAGCAGTGCATTTATGTGAATAAAAATAAGATAGCATATATGCATCGATACTCATTGGATGGGTCACCATTTGAACTCTCTTGCGAATCCTGGCTCCGAAGAGGACGGTATCCGTTCATGATTTAGTATTCAATGATAAAAAATATGGGGAAGTTCTTGATTGCACATCGTATGGATCTTATATATTGCACATGGTATTTCCATCCGCCCCAATGTGGCCAAATGTCGCCAGAAGCTTCGGGCATGGATTCCTCACACCAACTTTCCCATGCGGCTGGGTCCTCCTGAGCGATCAGGCCCCATGTTTGATTTTTTCCAAACACAAAAACATGTGTCAAAAGAAAAGCAAAGGCGTGTGTTCGAAGTACTTATATATACCTCAACTTTAGGAACACTGTTCAATGTTGGCCCGGTCCTGCATGGGATCGTATGGCAACGTTTGCCAGTTGTCCATTTTCCAGGCGTTTCTGCGCGCCCGTTGGGTCAAGTCGTGAATCCTAGCCACCTGGTCCTTGAGCCATTCAGACCAAACGAACCCAGAAGTTCGAGGTACCTCAAGACCCCTCTCTTTCATCATTTTTGTAACTGCATCTCTGATAGCAGCTTTGGTCCAAAAACGTGTTTCTTCAGAACCACTAGTAGCTGCCATAAACACGGCAAACGCATCCCTAGTTTTATGGACCCTCAAAGTGGTCGCAGAAACTATTTCACCAGTAGTGGCCAAGTATTCGCCACCGTCATCCTTGATGAAGGCATCATAGAGGGCCCCAGCCAAAAGATCAATTTTTCTATTGCGGTTCATGGTACCTTTCGAGCCCGAGCTGAGGATTGGACTCCTATAGATCGATATCCACCGCTGGAAAAAAAATGAACATTGCTGCCACAGTGTGGTGAGTTTGCCAAAAAGAGGGAACATGCAGACTTGGCATCTCGAATGTCCAATTGAAGTAAAACAGGGATTAGATTGTTTCGTTTCAAGTTGCGGTTTCAGATCCACTTCGGTGATCCCCACTGGATAATGTTGTTGTATAGCCCCTCCAAAAAAAACAAGGCACCATTCCAAGTAAGACATATATATATATATTATATATTATGTGTAGTGTTTTCAATGTTTTCTTTGCAGGGGGTAAAGAAAAGGTTGTAACTCATCCCCTAACATAACAAGATCCACTCATATCTCCAACATAGTATATATATATAGTATATAGTATATATATATATATATAGTTTATTTTTATGTTATATGTATGTTGGATATCATGTTTATATTTGACTAAGCCACAGTATTCTGCGGGTTAGCGCGAAGTGACTCTAAGATTCGATGTGATCTGGCAGCAAAGTTGCTGTTTCCATGTGTTTTTGTGCTGTAGCAGCATGATTTCTGATCATGCACTGCATATCTTACATAGTTTTGCATCTGCATGCCATTGGCCAAGCATCTTGACACGCTTATAAGTATGCTTAGCTTGCTCGCTAGCCTTATAGGTATCCTTGGCTTTATGTGTATGCTCAGCCCGTCCTGGGAGAGACTAGACCCAGCGAGGCGCACAGAGGGGGCACGATACTATGAGCGTAGAAGCGTTGCAGAAGAGATGGATATGCAGAAGCAATGGGAACGAAGCAGACGAGTGCTGGCAGACACAGTCAACTAAGTATAAACTCAAGTCTGGAATCAAGTCTGAAACCAAGTCTGAAACCAAGTCTGAAACCAAGTCTGAAACCAAGTCTAAACTTATTAAGTTTGCTACACTTCGAACTTATCCTCCCACCTTCCCCTTCCCTGTTTCAAAGGTTACATGGCAATGTGTCTTGCATCGTGCTCCGTGTCTTCGCGAATGCGCAATCTTTTTCATCCGCCGCCGATGTCTCTGGCTCAGCCGCTCTCGCAGGCTCGAAGCAGACCCCTCTATCCTGTACGGTTCTGCTGCGATGCTAACATGGCCTGCAACTCCAGCACTTTCTGCTGTGTTTTCTCCAACTCGTCCGCCGCTTCAAGATACGCCTCCAACAAATCATCAAAGTCATGACACAAGCTGCACCTCTGGATTTTCAGTGGACGTTCCAGAGTCTGCCCGTTGTCCTGCTCTCCTGCGCTGCCGGCACCCAGCACACCCTCATTCCAAGATGCCACACTTGCGCTCCCATTGGATCCTGCAACCTCCTCTGGACTGTCCACGACGCCACCTACAGGCGAGGGGGGGGCAATGTTGAGGGCCGGGTTGGGCACGTACTCGTACTCAGTATCAACTTCAGGTGCAACGCCTAAAGACGGGTTCGGTACTCCTTGCCATTGCTCTTCTTCTGATGCCGACGAGGAGTCAGAGTCAGAGGAAGAGTCAGACGTGGACGACGTCGACGAGGATGAAGTACCATTCGTCAGCTGCAAGACCTGAGAGAGCGAGAAATGACAGAAGGCATATGATCATACCGAACATGTCTTCGTAACTGTATAATCACGCGCGGAGAACCAAAGTACGTAAGGCGACTTCGGCCCCGAGAAAATAACGAGTGTTAGTGTACTCAAGACATGGAACACATGTTCTGAAGTCCAATCAGCCGAGGCGCAGGTTGGGAGGCTGTGGCAGTCTCCTTTTTGGGACGGATCACTTTGGGGAGAGCCAGGGCATGTAGGAGCTTTCGTGAGGCGTCAGGACTCCAGCTGCCCAGCAATCCGACAGGGGCCAGTCGGAGTCCTTTCTGAATGTTGCAGACCATTGCCGCTAGGTGCTTTCGCGCAAGTGGTTGTCTACTTTCATGTACTGCATGGTCCCCGGCGAGGACTTGATTCAGCAGCATTTGTAGGTTGTCTGCAGGTCCCCCACCAGGTCCACTTATCCTCCCACCTTCCCCTTCCCTGTTTCAAAGGTTACATGGCAATGTGTCTTGCATCGTGCTCCGTGTCTTCGCGAATGCGCAATCTTTTTCATCCGCCGCCGATGTCTCTGGCTCAGCCGCTCTCGCAGGCTCGAAGCAGACCCCTCTATCCTGTACGGTTCTGCTGCGATGCTAAAATGGCCTGCAACTCCAGCACTTTCTGCTGTGTTTTCTCCAACTCGTCCGCCGCTTCAAGATACGTCTCCAACAAATCATCAAAGTCATGACACAAGCTGCACCTCTGGATTTTCAGTGGACGTTCCAGAGTCTGCCCGTTGTCCTGCTCTCCTGCGCTGCCGGCACCCAGCACACCCTCATTCCAAGATGCCACACTTGCGCTCCCATTGGATCCTGCAACCTCCTCTGGACTGTCCACGACGCCACCTACAGGCGAGGGGGGGGGGCAATGTTGAGGGCCGGGTTGGGCACGTACTCGTACTCAGTATCAACTTCAGGTGCAACGCCTAAAGACGGGTTCGGTACTCCTTGCCATTGCTCTTCTTCTGATGCCGACGAGGAGTCAGAGTCAGAGGAAGAGTCAGACGTGGACGACGTCGACGAGGATGAAGTACCATTCGTCAGCTGCAAGACCTGAGAGAGCGAGAAATAACAGAAGGCATATGATCATACCGAACATGTCTTCGTAACTGTATAATCACGCGCGGAGAACCCAAGTACGTAAGGCGACTTCGGCCCCGAGAAAATAACGAGTGTTAGTGTACTCAAGACATGGAACACATGTTCTGAAGTCCAATCAGCCGAGGCGCAGGTTGGGAGGCTGTGGCAGTCTCCTTTTTGGGACGGATCACTTTGGGGAGAGCCAGGGCATGTAGGAGCTTTCGTGAGGCGTCAGGACTCCAGCTGCCCAGCAATCCGACAGGGGCCAGTCGGAGTCCTTTCTGAATGTTGCAGACCATTGCCGCTAGGTGCTTTCGCGCAAGTGGTTGTCTACTTTCATGTACTGCATGGTCCCCGGCGAGGACTTGATTCAGCAGCATTTGTAGGTTGTCTGCAGGTCCCCCACCAGGTCCCCCAGGAGCCGCCGCGCCATCCTGTGCCACCGACAAGACAACAATGGCCTGATTGTCGCGCAGAAGCACACTTCCGGCAACGGGGATCGACATGAGGCCGGATGCGATGACACGAGGATACGAGATCTCAACAAGCCAAGAGCGAAGCTCAGACCGAGGCACACGGACATTGTTTGTCGGAGAGTTTCTGTCTACACATGTGTACACTGATCTCAATCTGAACTTAAGTCTGAACTCAAGCCTCAAAGCCTGCCACCGAAGATCCAAGATCCAAGATTCCCAGATTTTTTTTCTTGGATGCAGGCTGGAAATCTTGGATGCACCCAAGATCCAAGATCCAAGATTTCCAGAAAACTTTTCTTGGAAATCTTGGAAATCTTGGGATAAACCCAAGATCCAAGATCTTGGGTGCATCCAAGATTCTGCAAGTGCATCCAAGAAAAGTTTTCTGGAAATCTTGGATCTTGGATCTTGGGTGCATCCAAGATTTCCAGCCTGCATCCAAGAAAACTTTTCTGGGAATCTTGGATCTTGGATCTTGGGTGCATCCAAGATTCTGCAAGTGCATCCAAGAAAAGTTTTCTGGAAATCTTGGATCTTGGATCTTGGGTTTATCCCAAGATTTCCAAGAAAAGCTTTCTGGAAATCTTGGATCTTGGATCTTGGGTAGCAGGAATCGAGACTATGACACTCAAGTCTGAAGTCAAGTCTGAACTCAAGTCTGAACTCATGTCTCAAGAAACTCAATATAAAAAACCTATCAAATTCAACATATGAAAATAAGCAAATTATACTGTAATTTACAGTATAAATCAAGGAAAGGTAGGTACCGGGGGGGGGTTCCATATATATATATATATGGGTAGTCATCCTGGAGTAGATAGACTGTGGACATTTCAACAAACAATTCCTCACTCAGTTGCGGGCATATGTTTCCAACTTTAATATGCTATATACTCATGATTATATAGTCATAATGATTTAAATTATGTATGTATATACACCCCATCATTGTAGTAAGGTCGCTATATTTCATCCATCTACAGGCATAGCTTTGTCCAAACATTGGGAATACCGGAATACCAATGGCGACTGTATGCCAATGGCGATGATGATCAATTCTGGGATGTGGGGGTACCCTGTTTTCACACAAACCCTAACTGATATAAGGCACGAAAGGAACGTGATGATGGAACTCACGGAACCAACATGTTCTTCGGGGATTGCGCTGCATCAGGGTCCAAATCTCAGACCCACGTCAAAAGTGTACAAAACCCTGAGAATCCAGACTTTTCATGTGGGACTGTCTGAAAATAGGCTACCTCCCCCCCCCAAAAAAAAACAATGGTTTGTGGATATACCCCATCTTCAGACAAACCCATTGGGTGAAGTCTGTAGGTCCATCATGAACCCCCAAAAAAGTGGCTACTCATTTATAGGGTATAATAGGGTTATGGACAATTGCCCATTCATGGATGATTTTGCCAGCAAAACACTCATTTGAGTACCAGAGAGTATATATTATTCTGTAATTGTTAATCATTATGATCCCATCATGGAACCATTATTAACCATGATGTAACAATCATGGATAATTGTTAACCATTATTACAATTAACCATCATTAACCATTATTAAACATTGTCATCATGGAACCATAATCATAACCATTATTAACCAGTGGATTTAGGCCTCAAACTTAACCCCAAAGAATTCGGATCGCCTGCGAGGTATCTGGGCTTTCAGCGCCTTCCTCTTGACCCTTGCTGAAGAGGCACGACATCACTTTTTTGGAAAAGGCAGCTACCAGAAATCCAGCAAGATTTTTCTCATGATGTCAATCCGCAATCAATGTCAACCAGTTCTAAGCTTTCGCAGACCCAAAGCTCAGTGTGGTTTTCCTCCAAGTATCCAAAGTACTCTGGACTTAGATGGCAAATGCTCCAAGCGGTGATTCTCTCTGATTCGCTACTTCTTTCCAGAACCCCCAAATCGACTAAAGCCAAAAGCTGCAGAAAACCAGTGAATATGCCATCTCCATCTCCGTTGATGTGGCCCAATGGCCCCAATCAGTTTAGCCAGATATGAAGAGATATTCATCCCGAACAGATTTGATGCTTGCTATTATATGTTGCTATACTTCACCAACATGGACACCAACACGTCACAACTTTACCAAGATCTACACCGTTTGGTTGATAGAACCCCCATGTTTTCTGAAAACAGCATAATTTTTGAGGGGCTGAATCATGCAAAATATGGTAAAATCTTAACTTTTTCCTGTGTACCCAACCAATGTTTACCATGGTTTACCCAGAGCACATGTAGATTCTACAGTGATTCCATGAAATCGCTAGAATGGAAACGTTCGCCATTTTTTTGCCTTCTGAAAGAACCCCTGCTAAATTTGGCTAAGTGATGCGGAGTGTTAATCCGGTCTTCCTGGTCAAACCGCCCAAAAGGCGTCAATAAATCTGCTGAGTTTCCACACCCCACGGGGAGCCGGCGGCGGCCTTGGCTTCTGGAATGAACAGATCGTGAAACGCAATTGAAGCAGAACAAATGGAGTGGTTACCTTGGGATTTAATAGGATTTAGTAGGACTTAATGGGATTTAATAGGACATTTAATGGGATCTAATGGAATAATGGTTTTGGATTTAATGGAATTTGATCAGATTGAATAGGAATTACTTATTAAATAGGATTCAACTCGGATTCAACGGGATTTAAATGGATTTACTGCAATGAGTGTGGGTTGGCTTAGAATCAGCCATGGCTTGTTTTGAGGGAAAATCTGGGACTGCGATTTCCCAGGAGAACTTCTCTGCGTGGCTGATACTCCTCGTCTTCTACAGGTCATGTTGAATGCCGACCAAAACTCGGAACCTGAAATTCAGTAACTCGTGGGAAACCCAATTTTCAGTAATAAGCAATCCCTAAAATATCACCAAATTTATGGGCGGTGTTTTTTTCCCTATCATCCCCAAAATGGATCAAAATGCTAGGTTTTTGTTCATGAAGTTTACCAGGTATACCACATCAAAAATGGGTGAAGTTTCAATCCATTTCTGCCACCATGGGTTATAGTTTGTCTCGTGTAAGTGTAGATCTAGTTGTTCACCATCATTGGTCGGCATACCAACAGTGTCATAAGAGGGATGGCAAAGAGTTCTCTTTCTGGCATCCAGTGGTCAGGAGTCATTGGATGTAAGACCTTTCCTCCGCCTGGCCATCGCTTGATCGAGAGGGTTCCAATGGCCCTGGCTTTTTGGGAAAAACATCATTTCCAATGTCTACCCTCTGGTGAACATACAAAAAACTATGGAAAATCACCATTTTCAATGGGTAAATCCACTATTTCTATGGCCATTTTCAATAGCTATATTTGTTTACCAGAGGGTAATCAACAGTCTGGGTAAAAGCGAAGGGAGCTTCGCTCGACTTGTCGCGGCTGCGACGGAGAATCAACGGATGACAGCCTTCAACCAGTCAGCTCCATTGACTATATCCCCCATGTGCGAAATGTGGTTGTGTGGTTGGTACCCAAATGTACCCAAATTACTGTTGTGAAAAAGACATAAATTAACCCTCCAGTCACTTAGACCTATCACCCATCTACCAGTGGGATATCTCCCATATCCATATGCACATCCAAGTGGGGATTTCTCAAAATGGGCGTGTCCAAAACCCGTAGTTTTTACGATAGGGCACTAACTATAAAATGGTTCTTAAATGCTAATAGTTATATAAACCATCATAGTTCTTAAATGCCAATAGTTATATCACAATACTATAATAGTTTTATAATTAATGCTATAAATTATATAATAGTTGGCTAGCTACCCACAATTTTGGACATGTTGGCATTGCGCAATTTCATAAACCAGCCATATGAATCAATGGTTTCAATCCCCATTTCCAATGGCAAGTCACTGCGGTGAATCCTATTACTTCACTAACCTTCCCACACATTTCCAATGGTTCAGATAGTTACTGTTGGTGGTATACCTACCGCTCTGAAAAATGATGGACTTCGTCAGTTGGGATGATTTTCCATTCCCAACTGAATGGAACGTCATAAAAAAAATGTTCCAAATCACCAGATATACTCATAATAGTTGGGTACCCCCCATTTTTGGGTGAACAACCCTATAGATCCCCAAAAAGTACAACACCGAGGGACAGTGGCAACGTGGCTTTGCCCGCGCTCGCCAGTCGCCGCTCGACGGCTTGCGCCTGGGAGTTCGAGAGGCGGCTTGCTAAATTGAGACGTCGAGATGTTCGCAGCAAAAAATGGTGGTTGAAGTACGGTTGAACCTAGACAAAATGGTGGTGTTATGGCATTTATATAGCTGATTGATGTGATTTAACCAAGCAAAATGGGGATTCAACCAACAATATGGATTGTTGTACCATCAACAACGGCATTTAACCAACAAAAAACTGGGATCATTAGGATTGACTCAGAAAATAGAACCAAAAAATAAGAAGCAGAACAAGGGCTTGGGGATCCTTTAAGCATGAAGATGAAATTGGTTATCATGAGGCATCTCAAATTTGCTCCATGTGTAGCAAAAATCCAGAAGATCAGATGTAGGAAAAATCCCATCAAAAATCCCATCGCAGCAGTTTGGAGTGGAGATTTAAGCATCCCAAATCAACACCTTCGGGAATTAAGTCCTTACAACACCTAGTTGTTGTCATTTGTTGGGATCCAAAAACCGACCAGAAAACACAACAGAAATTCGGAAGCTTGCCTACAACCCCCCGTGGGCCGCCATGGCCCAGTTCACAATCCCACTGACAGTCGACTGTTTTAGGGTCAACCAATTCAACCTTTTCTATGTTTTAGGGCTACATAGTTGGGGGTCAGAAGTCCAAGTGGTTTGTCCATGGTCCCACTAATTTGAGTCCAATTTAAATGTGTATCTATTTTTAACTGGGGTATAAGCCCACTTAACAGGATTCTGCGACACCCGTGGATGATGCCTGGTACTCCAAAAACAGTTGTACTTTGGATGGCATCCCTGTTCGAAATCGTCGTCAATAACCATACTGACTAATCCTGTTACCATCCGGTAATCAAATATGGCAATGACAAATCACCCCTTTATAGATGATTTTCCTATTAGAAGCTCCATCTATAGGGCATTTCCCATTCATATGTTTGATTAGCGGAGGGCAATTGGCCAAGGTCCCACTTCATAGACCTATGGTCATCGGGTTTAATAGCATGGGTATGCCAGTATCTACATGTTTCCCCCAACTCAGCAAAAAAAGAGACACGTTAAATTCTTCTAGAATGCTGGTGTAATATGGATTGAAATGGTATGAATCTAGCCTCTATCTTTGTGGGATTCCTTTATTTGGTTCGTTTGGTACTCCCATCCCTCGATATTAAACATTTATATAAATTAAACACCCCATTCATAAATAGTCCCAATATTAGTGATGTCATCATCTTAATCATTCCCTATCAAAAGTATTAAAAAAACTATGGCTTTCTGGAGGGTTTTTTAATCCCATGATCCCCCACCGAAATTCCGATGAAATCCCACATTCCCAATGAAATTCCCACACAAAAACTCATCAAAATCTATGGACATCTCCATTTCTGGAAACATGAGCCAACTCTAACAGAGATTTGATGATTAGTATAACCAACAATTTTATTACTATAACATATAAGTCTATATATATATATATCCTCTGGTTATTTAACATAGCCTTGGAAAGATCCACCATTATTAATAGGTAAAGCACCTATTTCGATTAGGGCCATCGAAAAACCATGGCTATGTTAGTCATAACCAGAGGCTATATCCCATTCATAATCCATTAAATCACTATAAAATACCATTAATATCCCATTTATAGATGGTTTACCTATTAAACATGGCAAGCAACGCGGCCCCCGGCCTCCTCCCTGGCGTGTTGCAAGCTGCCAGGGCTCAACGAGCGTGGCGTCGGCACGGGGATGGGCACCTCTTCAGCGCCGGGCAGCTATTGAAGCTGATATGATATATGATGATGATTTACAATATATATATATATATGTACATATCTTAATTAATGTGTTATTTATAGTTGATGTTTAAAAAAAGTTTTCATAAAATGTTAGAAGTTGTAAGTTTGAATTGGTCTATTTAGTTGTATATAAAGGATATATGGATATTCAATGGATATTGATGGTCAAGTGAAAGAATAACAGTTGGTTAATGATGTTTAATGAGGTAAACCCAATGCCACAAACCGTCCCCAATAGAGGTTTATGAACTTGGGTATACCCCTAGAACTGGGATGATGTAAAATGAAGCCCAGTCATGATTTGTTAGGGGTATGGTTTATTATTGGGTTTACCGGTTTACCACATTAAAATGGTAGAATGGATTTTGTAAGTTATACGTGGACTGTGTAAAATTTTACCAGTTGTTTTTTTGAAGATGGTAAAACCACTGGACACTTACACTTCACCATTTGTTGGAAGATATGATATGATATTAGTTGTTGCGATTTGTTGCGTGTTTTTTTTTTTACCGAGAATATATGAGTTTCATTCAATGGAAACACAGTGGTTTATATGAAGTATCGTGGATATGACGGCGAGTAAGTTGGTGACCAACTTTATATTTGACTGGTTTGATATTGTTGAGGAATGGTGAGGAAAATCATGGAATACTCTCAGGTAAACATACAAAACAAACTATGGACAATCACCACTTTTAACGGGTAAATCAACTATTTCTATGGCCATTTTCAATAGCTATGTTTGTTTACCAGAGGGTATATAATGTATATATATATACATATTATAATTTAATTGTTTTCTCCAAGAATGAAGGACACCCCAAAAAAAAAACTGGTTTATTTGGGATGTCAGCTCGTTTGGTGTCCCATGTTCAAATATACCAATACGCCACAAATGGATTAACTGCCTGTTCCCAACCTTGTCCATCTATGCTACATGTGTATACATATATATATATATATACATAATATGCACTTGGATATCCAAAAAAAACTGATTCATACTAAAACATCGCAAAACATATACCAACACCCCATGTGTGATCGATTGCTGCTGATTAAAATCGATCTCTATCCATTCCATCACTATTCAAATAAAAAAACGCCTCCGCTGTCTCAGCGAAGAAGGCGCAGTCGCGCAAGGCTCGATCGGCACCTGAGTTTGAGCAACAGAAAACGGTACTTATTATCAGCAGAACAGGGTTTTGTCACCAGCAATTCCGGGGATTTCAGTGGGATTTACTCAGTGAAACTTGATATAATCTTATAACCCTTATCTGCAATACCCTCAATAAGAGTATATACCATGAATAGAATAGTACACCTGGGTTTCTAAGGGCGGGGTATATACTGTTTTTTTGTACAACCATTGGGCATATGGTATAACTGGAGATTTCCATGGGATTTGGACGTTGTTTTTAACCGATCAGTTCATGGTTTCATGGGAATATGATTTACCCTCTGGTAATTTAACATAGCTATTGAAAATGGCTATTTATAGTGGATTTACCCATGATATGATGGTTTATAGGTGACCAACAATGTGATTTTTTATGGGTCCAAAGATGAGGATACTCAAACAATGGATAAACTAACATGGGAGGAAAACTAATATCGATAGAAGCTTGCGACAAATGGCCATGGCAAGCCAGGTGGCTATCAGCCATCCGCTTGCCAGCTGGTTTTCTGCCAGTGATTCATCGATAGAATAATCATGGGGAAATCATGGAGATATATTTTTTCCCATAATTATTCTAGTGAATTGATCATTTATAGTGAAAATTATGGGATAACTATTCTAGAAATCATGGGATAATTATGGAAAATTGATCATTTATAGTGAATTTTCCCATTAAACATGGTGATTTTCCATGGTTTTTTGTCTGTTGACCAGAGGGTAACACACCCACACAGCCGGTGACTTGCCGAGAAATGGTGGACTTCTACATCCAAAGGAAGAAGAATTTCTGGAGATCAAAACCCCAAAAACGTTCGACAAAATCCGCAGTTATGGTCATAAAAATTAGTAACTAGTTATTTCTATGGGATTATACATTCCATAAATGGGATTATACATTCCATAAATGGGATTATACATTAAGCCAGTGCCATTGCATTTGGGTCATTCATTTGCAAATGGGTTTTTCATGTTTGAGTCATAAAGAGGACAAGTAAAGATAATGAAAAGTCATAAAAGTGTGATGTCGCATTTAATGTTTATCAAAAGTGGGTCTTAATTATTTCATGTACTAAAGTAAGTGGCTTCAGCATAATAATTTCGTAGACACATCCTGGTTCCAGGTGTGGACATGGGGAAATCATGGTTGGGGGTCTGGATACCGGCCCTCAGCATTCTTGGTTACATGTGACATATTAGGAGCATGGTCACTACCCATTAGAATATTGTATAAGACCACTCACCCCCTACTGTTACCATAACCATCCATAACTATAACCATAATCTTACAAAAGACACACACACACACACTTTGCTACTGCCCTCCGTGCCAGGTTCAAACTTGTCCGTGCCAGGTTTTGCTTCTTGCAAAAGGGCCGGAACCTTGAGTTTCTCTTTAAGCTTGAGTTGTTCAATTGATAACTCGAATAATGATAGCATTCACCATCAATGACCAGCCCATTTCTAATACCAGTCAATTGATGGCAATCTTTCATGTCTAATACCAGTAAATTTATGAAGTAATGTGGTTCATGTCTAATTAATCTGTATAAATAATCTTCATGAAATTATTAAGGGGGGGCAGGGCGGACTGCAAATGCATGCCTCACAGGCTCACACTTCACTGGTCCTCGCTTTGTCCAGCCGTCAGTCATAGAGTCAGAGCAATCATTGTTAGTTAACATGTTATTTCATATCAAGTGATCCACAAAGATAGCTGATATTATCATGGAATTATCTGCATTGAAATCCGAACTTCATTGGTTTCTTGCATGTCTCATTTTTCAGGTGTTCTTACAAATCATTACTATTTCCATCCTTATCAGGTTTTGCTTCAACTGCACTCCAGGGTTTGGCCACCGGCCCTGGAGTTACTAAGGTAGCTTTGAATTAAGGTAGCTTTGGCTGCACTCCAGGGTCTGGCCACCGGCCCTGGAGTCACTCAGGTAAGACAATCTGGGTCTGGACACCGGCCCAGGTATCACTAAGGTAGCTTCTGGCGTGTGGCCCTTACTTGTTTTCATCATAGTTCAACATGATGTCACTCCGGCACTGTAAGTTTAACCCTAATTTTCAGAACAATGCATGTTAATTTTCAACATGCTAAAATGGTTCTATTTCTATTTTTTTAAATCTGGCAAGTTTGGCAAACACAGTCGTAGCAAAATATATCATTATTGCAACTAGACATGTTTATTTTTTCTTCCATGTCAGCCTGTCAGGTGACAGCAGAACAAGCAAAGCCATGCAGTTTACCATCATAAGTGATTCATAGACTCTAGTCTGATTTTTATCAATTCACAATGATGGATGACTCATAGTGGATTCATGGATGACTCATAGATGACTCATAGATGACTCACAGGTGTGTTGTAGATGATCCATAGATGATTTTAGTAATATGTTTATCATGTTGTTAGATAAATCCTGGCACTTTGTTAGTAACTGTATTGTTAAACTGCATGGCTTTGTAACGGTCTGGGTGTCCGACCGTGTTTGTTCTGCAGGCCCGGACTCCGGCCTGTTGTCACATGTCCCTGGATTCCGGGACTACTAAGGGACCAAGGTAGACCCAGCGCCTGGCTTCCGGCGCTGGGCTCAGGGACTCCAACCCGTGCCTGGCTTCCGGCACCGGGTTTCAACAAGCTGGTCACTACATACCAGTGCCTGGATTCCGGCACTTGGTAGCCCTGAGCCTCCTTCATACCAGTGCCTGGTTTCCGGCACTTGGTAGCCTTCTTCAGTCCGTTGCCCAGAGTCATCACAATCACCACCACCATCATCACCATTATCCTCATCACCATCATCATCACCACCAACATCTTCATCATCCTCATCCTCATCGTCATCATCATCATCATCATCCTCATCACCATCATCATCATCAACATCATCCTTATTATCATCATCATCATCATCATCCTCAAACCCTCATCATCACACATCATCACAACCGTGATCACCGTCATGTGTCTCATATTTAAATGCATGTTCGCAGCCATGTTCATCCTAATGTAAATCAACTAAGTCTGTTTTGCACTGTCTTTTTTGGGGTGCCACATTGTTTCAATGACCATCCCCATGGTCAAGTTCACCATTGCCTTTGATGTGATTAAGAAATTTGTGACCGGCCCCACACTAAACATCATCGGTACCATCAGCATGCTCCAGTGTCAGCTTCCTTATCCATAACCATCAACAACATGCTCACTCAGCATCACTTTTAATACTTTGATCATCAACCATTGATCAAAATTGTTTGGTGTATTGGTTGGTGAATCTGTCAGACAAATTAGACAACATATCCGTGAGATTGACCTGGTTTGACCTGAACTACCTTTTGTTCTGTTTCTCTCAAAAAGTTTTAGGTTTTGAGAGTGCCAGTCAGACACATCTTGATTTGTGAATGGTAGATGTGGGCATCCACCATGTGAATATCATCATTATGTGGCACACTGGCCATGGCCAAAAGTTTCAATAACCTTCATGAAGACCGCAATAGGTTGTAGGCATGTTAGTATGAGCAAACATTGTGACACATTTTGATTCTGGCCTCAATAGACCCCTGTCCATGCTAACCAGCACCCAAGTTGAATAGTAAGCATCACCTTCGAGGTCTGCAATGCTGAAGTGAAGGAAACTGTCCGGATGTCCCAGACTGGACGGACACCCAGGTTGCTGCATGGATGCGGAAATACTTTCAAATTCACATCGAATCTGTTGAGTTTGCATTGTTGAGCTTGCGCATTATTTGCATTTACTGTTTTTGGACATCTGTCATATATATCAATAGCAGCCTCATCATCATATGTTCATCAGCAGTGACACTTCAACTTTCACTCAAGTGAACACTCCGTCGCAAAATGAAAGCATGCAATACAAACATATGAATGACAGTTTTTCCATTGGAAAAAAAAGCCACAGGATCAAAATAATAAGACAAGGATTTCAGATTTATACTGTAATGGTTCCTGATTTAGCTTGCCCAGTCTGAGGATGAACATGGAGCTGCAACATGGAAAAGTTCAAGCACTGAGTCCAGACCCTTATATTGTGCAGTGTGTGGATTGCTTGACAAGCTGTGGTTTTTGCAACTTTCATTTTGTTGAATTTCAATCAACCAATGTGGTTTCAAACAGCCAAGATGTCCAGGAAGTATCTGGTCAAGTTGTGCAAAACGTATTTCTAAACATGCACCTACCCAAGCTACTTTGGCAAACCAATGTCAGTGTCTGGCCACCGGCACTGATCATTTCTTTGCCTGTGTCAGGATACCGGCACTGGGCACTAAGGTTGCAGAAGCCAGTAATTTAATACAATATAAGTTTTTGTATGTGTGCATGCCGGCAATGCTCAATATTTCATCATTGGATTCAACTTGTTTCAAACTTGACCATTCACAGCGATGTGGGACGTACCACATATTTACATATTTCTGGACAGAAAACTTGGACGACATGTTAAATAGTGACTGGGATACGAGGTCAGAGTGATGTGAAAGCATATTACTCCAGCCTGTTCGTTTTTTATTGTTTGCGACACAATGCTGCCAGTGTTCCCTGTACCAGCTCTGATTTTAAGCAGCAAACAATATCCGTTCATTAGTTTAGCCATCAGTGCTGTTCCAGTCACACTCTAGACGGATATCATTCCTCAGGATCCCTGTCATGTAGTTCTATCTTCAATTCATGTTGCTCCTTGATTCTTGATCTTGTTGCGCATGATTACGCATCATGATATGAGAGGAGTCTGTGCCAAGGCACCTAACCATTTCAGTCATATGTTCAGACGACCGGTTGCAATGTTGAGGACGTTTTGTTTTTACCAAGCAGCATGTCCATACAGTTCTGGAGCTCCCCCATTTTTTGATTTTAAATTCTATTGAGTCGACATTGAGAATTCAACTTGTTTTCTCAGCATATCTCAAACCTATTGTAATAGAATCTAGTTTGTATTTGTGAGTAACTCAGTTTAAGCAACAGAGGACGCAAATTGGTTTTATTGATGCTGTGAAGAGACATTGTCTTCTCCTATGTTTCAACCATACTTGCTTCTAATGTTTTCTTTCTCACTACGTCGCAGTTAAGTGAAATTGAGAGTGTCTCGCTGTCAATAACTGGTAGGCCTCCGGTGTTGGTGAAAGGCTTGGGCACGCCGACGGTTCAGATCATGCTCCAGAGCCCTCTCATTGCTGAAGTGCGTCTTCTCTCTGGAATGTTGGTGGGAACAATTCAGGTGCATCCAGAGGAGCGGTTTTCTTCTCTCCGGGAGAAGGCCAGAGCACAACTCTGTGCAGCCCGTTGCTTCACTTTTCCAGAAGCTCTTCATGCCCACTTTGAGTCCAACGGTTTGAAACTTGAGGATAACGTTTTACGGAGAAAGGTCCGTAAGACTTATTTGAAACGCTCCTAGGGCCTGTTCCAGCAGCCCCAGCTGAAAGGATGTCCAGCTTAAGTCTGGAGGGGAAACTATCAGTTCAGCATCAATAGCAAAAGAGTCAAAAGTGAACTGCAACCCTCCCTGTGCAGGGTTTGCTTGTCAAGGGCCCTATGGAGACGGCAACCCCGAGTTGCCCTCCCCATAGCCTAGGTTTATTGCATTTCATGGCATCATGACAGGCCATGTTACACCATAAGAATCTGTTAAATATAGGCTACAGAGACGGCAACCCCGAGTTGCCCTCCCCACAGGGGCCCTGACATCAACACACTGTACAGACACGGTTGCTCAACAGTCAGGTAATAATCATCATCATTGGAGATTGCATGTGTCAATGACTATGTGCAGTAGAAAAACGGTTGGTAAAGCCACCACATTCAGTGAGAAATAGAGTTCGTACCAGAATCTACGGTTGGTCACAACATTCCATGGATACGGCAACTCCGAGTTGCCCTCTCTGTGTGCCGTGTTCAGTGAGACACAAGGGTTGGTACCACAATCTCACGGCTACGGTTGCTAACAAAATCCCGTGGCTACGGCAACTCCGAGTTGCCCTCTCCGTGGGCCATGTTCAGTGAGAAACAAGGGTTGGTACCACAATCTCACGGCTACGGTTGGTAACAAAATCCCGTGACTACGGCAACTCCGAGTTGCCCTCTCTGTGGGCCATGTTTCCTCGATAATGTTGGCAAGAAACCTTTTTTCATTCCTTTAGATGTTTAGATCTACAATTGATGGAGCTACGGTTGCCCCTCCTGGTTCAGATCTACGGTTGGCCCTGACATGTCATACCTACGGTTGCCCCTCCTGGTTCAGATCTACGGTTGGTCCAGAAATGTCATACCTACGGTTGCCCCTCCTGGTTCAGATCTACGGTTGGTCCAGAAATGTCATACCTACGGTTGCCCCTCCTGGTTCAGATCCACGGTTGGTCCAGAAATGTCATACCTACGGTTGCCCCCCTTGACCTGAATCTACTGTTGGCCCTGTTGGCCCTGAAGCATGACATGAAGTGTGTGGACTGGATGTTTGGAAAATCCAGTTCTAACAGATTAGTGCGAGGTAGAAACATATTAGTAGAGCGACTTGCATTCATTCAGATGATATTGTTTGTTGCAATAATCACAACTTCTACAGCAACCAACGGCATCATTTCCCATGGGGGTTGAGATTTTTCTATTGTCACTCCTGCCAGCAAGTGTGAAACGGTGTGATGATGATATCCCAGTCACTATTTAACATGTCGTCCAAGTTTTCTGTCCAGAAATATGTAAATATGTGGTACGCCCCACATCGCTGTGAATGGTCAAGTTTGGAACAAGTTGAATCCAATGATGAAATATTGAGCATTGCCGGCATGCACACATACAAAAACTTATATTGTATTAAATTACTGGCTTCTGCAACCTTAGTGCCCAGTGCCGGTATCCTGACACAGGCAAAGAAATGATCAGTGCCGGTGGCCAGACACTGACATTGGTTTGCCAAAGTAGCTTGGGTAGGTGCATGTTTAGAAATACGTTTTGCACAACTTGACCAGATACTTCCTGGACATCTTGGTTGTTTGAAACCACATTGGTTGATTGAAATTCAACAAATCAGATAATGAAAGTTGCAAAAACCACAGCTTGTCAAGCAATCCACACACTGCACAATACAAGGGTCTGGACTCAGTGCTTGAACTTTTCCATGTTGCAGCTCCATGTTCATCCTCAGACTGGGCAAGCTAAATCAGGAACCATTACAGTATAAATCTGAAATCCTTGTCTTATTATTTTGATCCTGTGGCTTTTTTTTCCAATGGAAAAACTGTCATTCATATGTTTGTATTGCATGCTTTCATTTTGCGACGGAGTGTTCACTTGAGTGAAAGTTGAAGTGTCACTGCTGATGAACATATGATGATGAGGCTGCTATTGATATATATGACAGATGTCCAAAAACAGTAAATGCAAATAATGTGCAAGCTCAACAATGCAAACTCAACAGATTCGATGTGAATTTGAAAGTATTTCCGCATCCATGCAGCAACCTGGGTGTCCGTCCAGTCTGGGACATCCGGACAGTTTCCTTCACTTCAGCATTGCAGACCTCGAAGGTGATGCTTACTATTCAACTTGGGTGCTGGTTAGCATGGACAGGGGTCTATCGAGGCCAGAATCAAAATGTGTCACAATGTTTGCTCATACTAACATGCCTACAACCTATTGCGGTCTTCATGAAGGTTATTGAAACTTTTGGCCATGGCCAGTGTGCCACATAATGATGATATTCACATGGTGGATGCCCACATCTACCATTCACAAATCAAGATGTGTCTGACTGGCACTCTCAAAACCTAAAACTTTTTGAGAGAAACAGAACAAAAGGTAGTTCAGGTCAAACCAGGTCAATCTCACGGATATGTTGTCTAATTTGTCTGACAGATTCACCAACCAATACACCAAACAATTTTGATCAATGGTTGATGATCAAAGTATTAAAAGTGATGCTGAGTGAGCATGTTGTTGATGGTTATGGATAAGGAAGCTGACACTGGAGCATGCTGATGGTACCGATGATGTTTAGTGTGGGGCCGGTCACAAATTTCTTAATCACATCAAAGGCAATGGTGAACTTGACCATGGGGATGGTCATTGAAACAATGTGGCACCCCAAAAAAGACAGTGCAAAACAGACTTAGTTGATTTACATTAGGATGAACATGGCTGTGAACATGCATTTAAATATGAGACACATGACGGTGATCACGGTTGTGATGATGTGTGATGATGATGATGATGATGGTGATGATGATGATGATGATAAGGATGATGTTGATATGATGATGATGATGATGATGATGATGATGACGATGAGGATGAGGATGATGAAGATGTTGGTGGTGATGATGATGGTGATGAGGATAATGGTGATGATGGTGGTGGTGATTGTGATGACTCTGGGCAACGGACTGAAGAAGGCTACCAAGTGCCGGAAACCAGGCACTGGTAAGAAGGAGGCTCAGGGCTACCAAGTGCCGGAATCCAGGCACTGGTATGTAGTGACCAGCTTGTTGAAACCCGGTGCCGGAAGCCAGGCACGGGTTGGAGTCCCTGAACCCAGCGCCGGAAGCCAGGCGCTGGGTCTACCTTGGTCCCTTAGTAGTCCCGGAATCCAGGGACATGTGACAACAGGCCGGAGTCCGGGCCTGCAGAACAAACACGGTCGGACACCCAGACCGTTACAAAGCCATGCAGTTTAAC